GTGATCGAATAAATGTTAGCGAACGAATTTCGTTAAAAAAATTCTGTCTGTGTTTTTAAATCATTTAAAAAATATTCTGACAGTACAGTAAAAGTCCTCTAGAGAGGACACCATTGGGGAATGACCAAACTGTCCTCTCCTCTTAACTGTCCTCTCCTCAAGACTCAACATCAAAATCTTTTTTGATATACTACATAAAAAATTAAAATAAAACAACACGTTTTTAATATTGTTGTGGAAGAAAATCATTCATAGTTGTATGTTTTCCAAAACATTTTGTTTTTAACAATTCAATTTCTAAAATATTTTCAATGTTTTCAGAAAATTGTAACAATTCTCTATTGCCCATATGTATCGAATAGGAAGTTAGCTTCCTGGCACATTGTAATGCCACCTTTGTAGAAACTAGCCAATGACCAAAGGTGGCAATTTTTCCCCTGTCTGAGAGCAAGCTAAAAGAACAGTTATTTTTTCTTTGGCTGTCTTGATGCCTTTCCTTTTATCAGATTTCAAAACAAGTGAACGTTGTAGTAAACTGCGATAATAAAGACCTGTCTCATCTGCATTGAATATATTTTCAGGTAAGAATCCAGATCTCAGGAAGCCTTTTTTCCCAATCATCAACTATTTTTTCATCAACATCAGCAGCTTCACCAGCAAGTTGTACAAATGTTATCTCAAACTGCTTCTGCCAACTTCTTAGCCAACCAGTTGATGCCATGAAATTTTCACAACCGATACAGTCTACAGCAATAACAATAGCTTTTTCCTAACAATAATAAAGAAGGTTAGAAAAAAACAAAATAAATTCTTTATTTTCCCTATTTTTAAAAAGGTGGTAAGTTAAAATTTTGTTTAAAGAACTCTAACCTTCACCATTGGTCCACTAACTGGCAGATTCTTTGACCGAGCTTCAGAAAACCATTCAAACAATTTAAAATTGATCTCTTCAAAATCCGTTTTTCGTCTTTTCAACGTTTTATTCTTACTTGGCACTCCCGCTTTCCACTGCCTTTTTACAGATTCTTTATTTTCACGAATATTTGCAATTTGAGTTTTTCCGCAACCAAATTTTTCAGCAATTTTTCGTATGCTAACTCCATCATTTAATTT